TCTTGGGAAGACTTTTCAGATACATTTTAATGTAATCTTTGATTCCATTCCAATGGGCCCAACCCCTTGGGGTCAAGAACAATTTCGAATCCAAGCTAGCTGCCCAAAGATGCTTCCACAAAAGTTTCAGCTTTTCTGGTTCAGTGGTTCTTGAAAGAATATTTGTCCTATTTATTTTGAAATAAAATTGAATCCCCCATGCATTGTAGTCTCAGGGTCATGATTTATTAAGAAAGAGGGCGCATAAGGCGTGTACAATCCCCCGTTCTGAGACAAAATGTTTCTCAAGTTTTGAAATTCACAGAAAAGTTATATTTTTCTAAAATCATGTTCTCAGTAATGTCATCTTAAAAGCATTTTATTTTTTTTATTTTACTGAACGACTTATCATTTGCTAATTTTTATTTCAAAGTTGAAAGTTAAGCATATTTAGTGAAAAATGGGTTTAATGGAGCTATAAAAAACGAATTTTGAACATGAATGGGTAGTCTCCATTCTTCGTGAACGCTTAAATGATGGAATTAAACGTAAATGTGAAATCTATTTAATTTGTTCAAAAAATGGAATCTGAACCCATTCTATATGAAAATCGAACTTTTCTGAAAAAAAATTATGCTTCAACAAACCCGTTCATTTCAATCACACTGATGGACGTTAATAATACGTATACTTCGTAGCGTAGTGCATGGTAAAAGCGGTTGGTCTTGGACCAAACCTCCGCAATGGAAAGAGTTCGAATCATACGTGAAGCTTTTTCTTTTTTTTCAAATGTCTTAAAAACATGAGTGAAAAATAAATTATTAATAAAGAAGATGGGCGAATAAGGCGGGCAGAATGCCTATAGTGCGACAGATAAGAAGTGAAAATTTTAATCTCTATTGAATCCAAATTTAACTTGATATTTCATCTAATATTAAAGTATACTTTATGTAAAATCTCTACAATTTAATAAAATCTCACAAAGACTAAAAATATTTGCCTATGAAAAAGCTTACACACACTAAAAAGAACAAAAACGATCATTTTCTCATACTTAAACAAATTTTTTAAATATGGGTGGGTCTTCTCTCCATTTTTTTGAAAGATGATCCTAAAAGTTGGCAATAAAATACTCATTTTTTGGTTTTCAAAAACATGGAGCGAAGACCCACTATACCTTAAAAGTACACTTTTATGACACAACATTAGCATCTTTCCGAAAAATACTTCAAGTCTATTAAGTCGCGGGTCATATCATAAACATGATTTAAATGCCTAAAATCACCATGAGTGGTGTCGCATAGTGGTTAACGCATTAGTCTCAAAGCACATTGCTATTGATACGTCGGATTTTTATTGCTAGAGTTGGAATCACACGAATAACATCTAATAATTTTATGAAAGAAAATTTTTCACAAGATTTATTTCTCTCTCAGAAAATTTTTTTTTTCTCATAATTTCTAAAATTTCAATAATTAGACGTTAATTTAAATAATCAATTCACATATTTGATATGATTTTTAATATCTGACGCCATAGACATTCTGCCTGCCTTGTTCGCCCATCTTCTTAGTAAAGCAATGAAATACAGGATTCCATGTGTTAAAGATGAGATAAACCATAACATTTTGAACAAATACTACTTTTAGAATTGAGAAATGTCTTTTTTCAGAGCGGGGGATTGACCTCGCCTTGTACGCCTCCATTCTTTTAGAATCTATACTTCTTCAGGATACTTCCACTTCGATTTCAGCTTTTTTAACCCAGCGGATCTTAAGAAGTTTTTATGAAAGATTTTTATGCACGATTCGATTGATCCGGGGCGTATTTTTCTATGTGAAAATTGGATCTACATTGTATATATATATATTTTTGCCCGCTACTGGTCATTATTTGAAAACTAGTCCTGGATGCTTCCACATACGTTTCAGTTGGATGCTTTCAAATATTTTCAGCTTTTCTGTCCAATTGGTTATCGAGATTTTTAAGTAACACCATCTAATGTTGTCTTCTCTTGACTATGTCTTCAAGGAAAGTGGTTGATCCTTCATTTTAACAATTAATTTAACCTATATTTTGAAATATTTGAATTTTTGTATATGAACAGGTGTTGTATGTTCAATTTAACCTCCACGGTATATATATATATATATATTTATTACTGCATAGGGAATTATATTTTTACAAAAATGCTCCTGATAAAAGCATTCCCACTTTAAAGTGATCTATGTACACGTAATCATATCAGAATATTGAAGACTGTTTTAAGAAAAGATAATATGTTTCTACATACAAGGCCTAAAGAGTGGATACCTTAACATTAAGTATTTCAGCAATTTCCTGGTTAAGTGATGTATTTTATATTCAATTAAAACATATATTTTTTGTGCTAACTTGTTTTTTTTTTTTGTTCTATGTTCTTCCAGTTATAGATTGGGTAATTATTGCGCGTAAAACCAACACTGCCAGCACATAACACAATATCAAATTAATTTTGTATATTATAATTATTTGTTAAGCAGTCCAAAATTATTTAACCCCTCCACCCCCCCCCCCCCACCGCCCTCTATATCTATGAGAAACCGTTAGGGGACAAGTGTATGTACATTTTTAAAGAATAGTTGTCATATTTAATAAAAATCCGAGTAATTTTCTACCAGCGGATTTAACAGAAATTGAGATACCGCGGAATTCTGACCCCGTGGAAAGAAGTACGCCTACATCTTGACCATTCTCCAAAAAAAATGAATTTTCTAAAATATCTAATTTACGCTAAGAAAGACCAACTTGCATTTTCCCCCAAGATTTGGGCAAACTTTATACTAGTAATATACGGATGTGTATATCTTTTACAAAGTAGGTCATCTATAATGCCATTTACTATTCTTTTTGCAAAGTAGAGATAAACACAAAATACAAACCTATAGCGTCTACCCCAAAGAACGACAGGCAACCGTTTTATATAATGAAGTCATGTCATGTTGAAAATATTTTATTCTGACTTTATTTGGTCATTTTCAACTAAAAGATCTGGAATAAAATAAGGATTAAAGAATTGCATGTAGGAACAAACTGAAAGTCATTTATTAATACAGATATTGACTCCAATGTGATATTCAAAAAATGATTAAAATTAAATTTAAATGTACAAAGCTTTGTACATGAACTTAAAATAAAGCAATATTTTGTTGTTTCTTTTCTTTTAGGAAAATAAAATGGTATCTCCAATAAATGAAACCTAATATACCATCCAAAATCAATGCAAGCTTTTATACAAGTAGATTTTCTTTTTCCTTTTCCAGAAGTTGAATGTAAATGTAGAAAAGTTGATTTTCACAATACACAACAAAAAAAAATTGTATTTAAACCAAATTAATATAATTTTTCCCCCAATTTTCTGTACCTTGTATAATAATAATGAGCTAAACAGAAATTTATACACATGTATGTCATATATACAAATATGTACATTGAATTGTATGAAATGGGTTATATGCTTGTACAATTACATGTAATTGCATGTACATGTAGTAAATATGTGTATATGTGCTGTACAGTTCTCAAATTACTTTATGAATACAAGTAGCACATATGTAAGTTGTGCTTGATCTAACTTGATCAATTAAAATGATGTTAAAAAATTGTAATGTACAGGAATATAAATATAAATGAAAACTTGTTTTACATTTGTTTTCAAAGTCTTGCTGCGCCAAACTTTTTTTTACTTGTTTCTTTAAGAATAAAATTCCATTGACCCTTATTTATATGGTATACCTTTGACACAAGTAATATTAGTATTTAAAATGTTATATATTTCTGTCAATTCTAAAAACATATTTTACTACACAATGAATATTAAAATTCACTTAAGCAAACTATTGTAATGATAAGGTTTTATATTATGACCCCTAAACCTCGTGGTATAGTGATGAGTTGGTCAAACAAAAAATAACTTGATTAATTAATTCTCCTTTACAAGTACTTCCTTCTAAAATGTTTTATGCATTTATCAAACATTTACTTCATTGAAACAGTTGAAGACATATACATATTTCGGATACTAAATCCTCATCAGTGTTGCTTTTCTTAGTTTCAAATACCTGGTAATATGAATTTTAAATAAAACACTATTTTCCTCAAATAATTTTAAACAAATATTTTTAAAAAGGCAATATTTTGCAGAAAACATATATGATATAAAATATTTTAAAGTTGAATTCCAGAAAAAAAAATTAATAGAAGAAAAAAATGTAAACCCCCCTTCCTAAGAAAGAAACTGAAATTCCAATTAAAATTACCATCTAATAATCTAAAGACAATTATTGCAACATATATGTATACATTTTTTTCTTTTTTTTTTTTTTTGAATTGTATTTATAAATTTTTTGAGTTGTTTTGTTTTCTTTGTGATTTTTATCCATTTTGTTTAACCAACTCATGCAAATGACACGCGGACCGTCCCTTTGATAGATTCTCGGCACACTGGGCAGTTTTTTAAAGCGGGTGAACACTGCGCACAACTGACCAGGTGCCCACAGGGTAAAAAAACAATGGACACCCTCTCCTCACAGCACAGAATACACATTGTCCTCTCTCGCATTTCACTGTTTCTCTGTGTAAGCTCCTTAATATCTGTAAGAGACAAAAAACATATTTAATTACACAAAATGATACTTTTAAGGATTATAAACTTTGATATTAAACAACAGATTAAATAATGTGTTTTTCCTTGTACAATTTTTGATTTAAAAAGATTTCTGAGTGACATAAAAACTTTTCAAGTCGTAATGCAAAAGTGAAAAGATTTTTTTTAATCAGCGTATGCTGATTCTTAGATAAAAAAAATTACTTCAAATGTGCAAGGCACTATTGAGTACATATACAATTAAAAGTGTAATTAAATATGAAAATAATAAAAAGACTAATTAAAAAATAAGTCACCATCAGGCACTCTGTCGTTGATTTTCTTCCAGGAACTGTCCGACAAGACTTTAGGAACCATGGAATTTTCTTTGTCGATTTCACCGGACTCTTCCATGTCGAAAATAATGTTAGCAATGTTTGATCCTGACATGCCATCCCAGCCTTAATTAATGAATTAATCAGTTAAAATTAAACATAAATATCAATTAATATCATAAGTAAATATACACCACTGGGTAATATGAAAATATTTTAGTACAAAAGTCGAATTATCTCCCTTTAACCAGTAAATTACTAAATGTATGGATTCACAAGTACATGTTATGATAAACTGATTGCTGAAAAAATGTCAACTCAAAGAATATCAAAACATTACATAAATGTATGTAATCAATCTCTTTAAGGATTATAGCGCAGTAATTTAAAGGTAACATGTGCCGCTCTTCTCAATATTACATATCAATTACTTCATAGTTTTATTCAAAGAAAAAGATTAAACCTCAGTCAATCAATAACAAACATTGATTTGTATTTTATATGGTTTATCAAGAACCCCCCCCCCAAATCCTGTATTCAAAATGACTTCAAAGATTCATAGAAGAGTATACCATTGCATATATGTATTGTTACATTATAAATAATTTTATTTAACATTTAATAAGCTCTTGACAAAATGAAAATCTTAATGAATCAATTTAATTCTGATAGATGTTAATTACAGCAGTCTTTCATGTTGAAAATAAAAACTCTCAACAATTACAAATATGAATTTAGATGTATTCAAAAATGAGTAACTATATAGAGTCAATGTTTCTACTATATTTAATTTCTTCAGAATTTCAAAGTAGGTTATCTCCCTTTAACCATTAAAAAAAATAAGAAATCAAAATAGATATCTTTCATGTTGTCTTTTAAGCCCCCTTTTCCAAAATTTTTCTACCACGGGAATTACTATCCTACCTTTAGCCTGCAGTACTTTATCGACCGCCATCTTGACAATTCTGGGCAGGTACCCCATGGCCAGGACACTCTGAGCCGCGTCACTCAGGAGAGGGTTTTTCTTCTCGGCGTTTGTTGGAGGTTTACGACCTGATGACAAAGACTGACTGCTGGTTGCTGTGTTATTCTGTATTCCTACAATACGTAATTACATCATACGTGTAAGCATGTATAATTTAAACATAAAATCTCAAATGAACCGTCGAATATGAAATATTAAAGCTTTTGGATAAATTCTGGTAGATTTTTTTCTCCTAATAGTAATATCTAATTATGATTTATACATATTTGACTTTGACACTTTTATAAATTCTGAACAATCATGTGGTGTCTTATTTGAATAGTAAAGAATATTTCAATAACAGTATTAAGCATATAATTCTATTCAATGTGTAGCGGTCAGCCGGATTCAAACACTGGTGGCCAGATAGTTCAGTTGGTAGAGCATTTAACCAAAGATTCAGGGGGACTGGATTCAAATCCCGGTCTGGTCCACTGTATTATCCTCCTCACCCATTACAAATGTACATGAACCTAGCTATCCTGCACATTACTTCAATCACTGCCAATACTGGCACTCGTTATTTCAACAATATTTCATATAGCTGTATGTACAGCCTTGTGTCTCTTTCATGTCTATCATGCATCATCCTGTTCTAATAGGTATGCATTAAGACATGCCATCACCTCTGTGTACAATATAGCCTTATACAACACAGAAGACTAGTCATACCTGTGTCAATGTTGGGAGGTACACAGTCAGCCGCGATGTCTGTGTATAATATAGCTCTGTACAATGCAGAGGACTAGTCATACCTGTGTCAATGTTGGGAGGTACACAGTCAGCCGCAATGTCTGTGGCTTCCCTCGTCATTGCATCAGATTGTTGTTGTAGAGCTTCTTGCTACAAAACACAAAAGAAAGGTATATATAAAATGTTTATATGCTGTCATTAACAAATTCCAAATTTAACATGCAAAAATGTGAGTAAAATCAACGTACAAGTATGAATGATTCACTTTAGGTTAAGATAATCAAATGATAATCAAGTGATGATTATATTGACTACATGGTAAGCATAATACTGATTCTTTAAAAAAATTTCTCATGAAATACTGAAATATATAAAATAAGCAAAATAAATGTAGGTTTCCTTCTAGATCTGCTACAACTTGGTGAAGGCAGGTCGTCCTGTTTGACTTTTGACCTTTCCCTTTGATCTGACTTAAGGCATTGTAATTATTGACCTCCACATTGCCAAGCTTCTATATATATTGTCCTGACTTAATTCTGCCCAAGCTTAGTTTGCAGACAAAAAAAAATAGACAGACAGACTGACTGGTCAGTCACAATTTTAATATGCTTCTCAGATCTACATGCATAGTCCGAAACTTCACTTCCCTGAGAAGGTTGGGAAAAACACAATCATGTTAAACAGCGTCTGATTCATTCTAACATATTTTTTGCCAAAATGCCAAAACAAATGCAAACCACAGTTGTGTCAGCTTCAGTAGTACAACAAATAAAGTCTGTTGCAACGTGGCTTGACTCCTCAGAGAGATCATCGATGGTACGGCACTCAATACAAAGGGAGGCTACTGTGCAACTCCACCATACTCCTCTGTTGTATTATTTATGGAATTGCACTGGGGATATAAATCAATAACAGAATGAAAATAATCCTCTCAGCCATAACATTCTTCATTGATTAGCAACTTTAAAACTTGGATCAGGTGTATTTTCAAGTGACATTTAAAAGTCTGCATTATATTGATTTGTTGATGCATATAGAACATTGTCATTTCAACAAAAGGCTGAAATATTAGTCAGTTGTGTAAATTCTAACAGAAATTACTTATCACCAGACCCTTTATCTGGCATCTTCATGCAGTGTGTTGATTACTGCATACATCTTCTTAATAAGAATGGCAGAATTGCCTTCCTCGTATATTTTCTGCTTGTCTAATATATATTTTTATACTTCCTGAGTCGTCATTTTTGCCACAGATATTCAGATAAGACTTTTTTTTAATATTAAGTACACTGGTTTAGACAGCCCTGTTAACATGGTAAAACCCAGGATTATGTATGTTCCTGATATTTCACCACTATTATTTATAGATGATTCTAGTTTTGAATAAAACTACTGTTACACTGATCAGTAGTATCTTTCATGAATAGATCCCTTTTTTAGACCTCAATCTTTAAAGTATATATAATGTAGTCCTTAAGTAAAATTTCTATTTTACACATCAAATTTATGTAATTATATCAATTTATTACACTTTGTTAAGTTTTTAATACATCTCATATTTTTTGTTCTTTGTCCCCAAGTTCTATAAATCATCTCTTAGGTCATTTTAAAAATATATATAGAAATTGATTCAACACAATGTTCAACTCTGAAGGTGTGATCATGCATCATGATTATACACAGTCAGGCCTGTGAGCAATAATATTAAATGACTGTTCTCTCAGTTCAATAGAAACAGGAAATGTATGCCTCTTATATCCATTCAATGTAAGTGCACTTGTACAATATCATGAAACTATTTGCCAATTAAAGCATCTGATTCAGCTTCATGCATGAACATGATCATGATAAGAAAAAATTTTTCTCAATTACCAATTACTGCATTCTTTCCTTCATTTTTCATAAATTTATTTTTAATTTCCTGATGAAATGTAAATGACACTGAAAAGTTGAAAAAGATATCTTATACTCTGTCCTCTGCAATGACAGTAATGCAGTTTGCACCTGAGAAGCATTGTTAAGGTAATTTGAGAAAATTTAAATCCCACTATACCATTTGCTGTTGTCGGACTGCGACTTGTACGAGGTTGATAAAATCTTGTCCTTTCTTGTCCTTGACAAAGAAACATTCGGGGGCCCAGCGGGCATGCTCCACCCAGGGCTCATCCTCGGGGTCCCAGTTCCGTAATCCTGTCCCACACAAGAAACACCTAACACTGTCCGCTTGACCTACAAATAGGGAACATTCAAATAATATGAACCACTAATTGCAATGGTAAATGTTCTGGTGCATCTTCAACTATAGCTGTCTTCATTTGACTTTTTTTTTCAAATACATGTAGTACACTACATTTAAAATATTAGGGAATACATACGTATATAATACATTTTTTCTGATAATTACACATGTAAATTTTTGCATCTTGAAAGAGCTAGGTTCATTTATAATGTTTAAAATATTGCTGTCCTTTAATCAATTTATTAACTGATCTCCAATCTCTGCCCCCTTTCAAATATCATTTTTTTTTTAAATATAAATAATTAAGTAGAGACTTTGTGCCTTCATTTCCTGAAGCAAATTTCCTATCTGAGCATTGTTGAGAATCCAAATATTAGAAAACAGATTTTTTCAGAATACATTTTAGAAAACAGGCTCTATAAAAATAGATTAAAAATGTATAAGTTAATTTTCACCCTATAAATTTTACTAAATACATAATTAAAAGATATAGGTGGGGAGATGGGGGACAGTGTACTTGAGCTCCCCATACATTTCTTCTGAATGAAAATGTTAGCATTTAACTTAGCATTAAAATGTTTACTGTCAGGATGGTGTTCCCTTCCCTTCAAATCCCATTTATAGATCCTCCTCTTCCCTCAAAATAAATATTTGAATAAATATAAACTTGGGAGTTTTGATAATTATCCTCTTGGAAGGGGGGGGGGGGGGAAAAGATTTATTAGATTTTTTTTATCACAAAACTTAAAACATTATTTTACTTGTCCATATTGATCTGTGCTTGGATACGAATTACATGCACATGATGTAATTAAATAGTAATTACTCCGTATATAAAAATTTCTAAAATGTTGGATTGATCCAGACAATCTGCTACATCATGCATGTGTAGCAAATTAAAGTTATCATGATGTTAAACATGTTAAATCTAAATAAAATCATGTTTCTAGGAAAAAGAAAAAAAATTGGGAAATCCAAACTTAAAGGAAAATATTTCAAATTCCAAAAAAAATATTGACCGATTTAAATGCAATATTTTTTTTTATTTATCAATTTCATTTTTGATGATATAAATAGAAAACCTCCTCTTAACTGGAAACCCCTATTTAAAATACATCCTTGTAACAAGGCATAAGTGGTCCGACCAATGAAATTGTGCATACTGCATAGATTTAGAACCACCTAATGACCTATCCTGTCCTATCCTGTTTGTTCATTTCTACAGTTAAAACATGCTATTTATCATGTTTATCAACTGAACAATGTAATTGCATGGTTTTAAAGTCATGTGGGAACACCTATTTATTACTTTGAGTACTTTAAACATAATAGGATTGGTTTCAAATAAACATGATGATATTAAAGTTGTGCGCAATATACCATCATCATAATTTTTTCATTAAAATATTTGTACTTTGTAATCCTTTGTGCCAGTCAAAGTGCACTCACTCATGTGATATGGAGATTACAATCCCAGTGCAATCAGCGATATTAATAGCACATTCCAGATTTTCACTTATTTTGCTGTATAACTTTTTATTTAAAATTTATATACCTGTGTAAAAAAATCCAGCATCAGCTAAGTTTTCAGGATTTTGTTTGGCTGTAGGGGGCCAGTTATTGTACGAAGCTATTCGTTTGCCTCTCTGGGAATAGTCCGCATATTTCGCCTGTTGAGGTCGCGATGCATGAATAGAGTTAATTTCACTAGCATGGTTCACACTTGGGGGACGTGCACTCGAATGAGGAATAACACTGTCCGCTTCGTTCAGCTGATTTACATATTGCGGATGGTAATTTGAGGGAACTCGTTGCGGACTTCCTAGCTCTCCGCGATATGTGTCCGGCGTATCTTGTCCATTTGGGAATCCAGGAATTCGTAGTCCAGAACTTAACATACTATGTATCTGTAAAAAGAAAGAATTAAACTTTCCTTTATCATTCATCCTAAAAAAAATGTAAAAATGTGAAAAAATGTAAAGAAAAAAAAAACTGTGAAAATATTAAATGAGCTAGTTTATGGTTTATATGACAGCTTAGCTAAGACATTTACATTATAATTTTTTTTCTTATGTATGCTATATACGTGAAGCATGATAATGACAGTCATTTTTGAGACCTTCAGAATACATGTACCCCAAGAAGCATACATGTACAAACTGTAGGCCTGTAGATTTTACAGTACAGCATATAGTGGATTAGACAAACTCAACTGCACCCAGGAAAGAGATTCATGTTCTTACACCATGTATCTATGCACAGGTTAAAAATCAGTAGACAATATATTACTTAGTAAACCTGTGAACGTACCAATTATTGATTTGCTGTTTGCAATATGCATTTAATCTCGCATTATATACCTTAATAAGGTGGGAAAAAGGAAAAGAAACAATCCAAAATATATTGGAATTTCCGCTTTTTTTTTTTTTAAAATAGAAGTATAAATAGAATACACGTACCTTTAGTTACTTTACCTTCAGTTGAGTTAAAACTGTTCACACGAAGAAAAATCCAGTTCTAATATCCCCTTGAACTTCCCACAGCTAAGGGGCAAGGTGCATTACTGCATGACGACGTTTTACGTCATTTTATCTATAAATAGAAACAGCTCAAAACTGGAAATTTTCATCTATAAATAGATTTCTGCAAATATCAACAAAAATGCGCTTGGGCATGCTCGCTTACCGCTTAAAAAGTATTCATGCATATAGTTTATTAAAAAATTTTCATTATTGTGTTCATACAGGGAGGTACAAGCATACAAAGGAGGTTTAACTGTAGGCGTCTGTTTAAAATTTCCGCACCTGTCAGGCCGCCAGCTGCGTTTTTCACTTCGTTTGGGAAATATAAATAGATCTCTTGTGATAACTGCGTCGTGCTATTTATACCATAATCAAAGTACTGAAAGTACTGTTAGACGGAGGCTTCATGTATGAGAGAACACAAAAGAAATATATATGTCATACATTGCTGCAAAGAATATTATGAGAAATAATGTGTAGTTTTTTTTTTCAATTCAACATTTTTTTCAAAGGATACTCCAATATTCATGAGGTTTTTGGGATATTATAATTTCATCTTTGTAATGTAAACTTCGCCTTGATTAAAGTTCACTGTTATTTAGATGAGATACTTTCAATATTAAACCTTTCAACGTAAGAAACAGTAATTGACTAGGCCTGGTTGACATAAAACTTAGACGGGCTAACTTCTTATCTCAGTCTCACTTAAGGAATATATAGTGGAAAAGTTAGACTGAGATCAAAAGTGAGCTTGTCTAAGTTGTATGTGACATTGTCCCCAGGCCCGGTTTGATGAATGTAGGTTTAGTATGTTCTAGTCATGAGCCCAATGGCGGAATTAAAAGGGGCCCCTGGTCCCCTCCCTTTTGAGTCCTAAAAATACGCAATATTTGATAAATGAGTGTTTTAATTGTGGCTGTGGGCCCCTTCCCTGACCTCAAACTGGTCCCCCTATTTCAGAATTTCTGGATTAAGCACTAAGCCTCAGCCTGTCAGGAGTCTCCATATTTCAAGATATCTTATTTATAGGTCACAGAGACCTACTGTTAACATAATTATGACATATAACAGCTACCAAAATCAAAATTTCTCGGCCTTATTGTAATAATGTTATGAAATGAGCTAACATGGAAAAAGAAGCAGCCAGGTAATTGGACATGAACAACATAATATAGTACAGTTTGTCTTAAACCTTTGTGATACAATATGGGGTGACCTAGCATGAAAGCAACACAGAATTTTCTTTAAGTAATACAACTTCATTAACATGCAATAAATGTACGTGCCAGAACACAATTTTTTGAGTGGAATAAAATATACTTTCTTACTTTATGTAAACAGAACAATCAAGTTCATAAGACTTGCTATTTCACAAGTTTAAATTGTTTTTGGAGAAATGGAGTATTGCTTACAATAACAAAGATATATCCTGACAAATTTGACAACCAATATTTCTGGAATTATTAAATGTAGTGTTTTATCATATGACAGATTAACCCAAAAAATGTCTTTCTTTACTCGTATACCAGTGGAAATGGTTGTCCTTTTCAGTTTATCTGTTTAAAACAATCATTAACAATATGAGACATGATTACAAATTACGTAGAGAAAAGTTATAAATATATAACTATGATTTCTGCTTTTCAGTAACTCTGTTAAAACAATCACTTTACCAATGATGTAGGTTAAAAAAATTGACATGAATACCAATGATCAGAAATACATGTAATCTTGTATATAAAAAATAATTAAAGTTTGGGATGTGAAAGAGGTAAAACACAAGTATCAAATGCAAATAAGGATCAACGATATGACAATAAGACAACTTATTTCAGAAGATATGATTTTTAATTATTAATTAGGATATTATGTGATAAATCATGTAAATCCTATGAACCAAGATTTGGGTTGTACCCAAGGGTCAAACGTTACAAATGCATTTTGATCTCAATATCAGAGTTGCCGTTTGTTTCTCTCTTATCTAATGTGAGGGTACCCCAAACACTCAAACCGCTTGTAAAAAGTGTAAATCTATTTTCATGTGTTTCCTGAAATTATACATAGTATCAAATAAACAATTCAAAACTAGACTGTTAATATTCCTACATATAAAAATACTATGCATTTGTTTATTCATCGATCCTTGTCAGATTAAAAAACTCCATGAAATCCTATTGATGCAAGCGTTAAAAATCGGCCGCAAACCAATTTATCGGTCCTTTCAAAAAGAAATTAGAAAAGGAATGAAAATGAGATTACAAACAACAATCAAGCACAAAAAATTCCATTAAAACTGAAATGCTTGATCTATTATTAAAATATCTTATATTTAAACCTGCGACATAAAACATTTGCATGCGACATAGCAGGATTTCCTTCAAAACATAATACAGGTACATCTGCGTCTCCACACTTAGTTTGATACACAGGCGAATTCTGGTGGAAGTTTTTACAATTAAATATAAAACTAAAGTTTAAACTTATCTGTAACTAGAGATAGTTTTTACTTTAAATTAATAAAAGAAGCAATTGATAAGTGGGGTTCCTCGATCACTCTCCGCGGATGTTAACCCCCCCCCCAACTCCCTCTAGATCCGCCACTTCATTTCTTCTCGCTCTAACTGGCGGGAAAAGGCTCAGCATATTGTAAAACATGCTTTATCAAATCTCCTAATATTCTGTCTGATAAAAAATTAATAGTAAATCACATCTTTTTTTTTACATATTCCGTAGGAAATGTATTTATATACACGTCATTTCAAAAAATATTAGACAAATCCTGTTTATTTAGAAAAAGTAGAACTGTTTGTTTATACTTGTATGTGACGCGATCTTTGTTTTAGACTATGCCTATCCTTGCGGTCGGTGTAACGCAGAGTCGCTCTAAATAAAGAATTCTCAAGGTAATGAAAACAATTCCACCGATAGATGGTGCTTGGGAAATCTTTCCTGTTTACATTCCATGGGCAAGACAATCCCTATACACGGAGGCTGTCATACAGCCTCCGTCTAAAAAGCTTCTGCTCCAGTCATCTGTCGATCACCCTCACCAGAGGGCGTAATATCGCTACTCAAAAGAGCGGGACGGAAAACGCAACAGAAAGCGGAACGGAACGTGTGAGGAAAGCCACACGAAAATTTTGAATTTATATATCTTGAAGAAATCCCTATTAATTATTTTTTTTTTATTTTTACATTTTGTATAAGATACATATGTACTCATACTGATCGCAATCTCTATCCAGAGTTTTCGATCCCGCTTTATACCACAGGTGCTTGGTTACAGGATGGTGTATTTTGTGTATTATGTGTTTTTCTATGTGTGCATGAATACCCTCATTAAAATAAAAATAAAAATTCGCCGAAATTGGCACATTTTAAAAAATGTCATGAGTACTATTTTATATACAGTAAAATATGACATTTTTTAAAACGTGCTAATTTCGGCGAATTTTTATTTTTATTTTAATGAGGGTATTCATGCACACATAGAAAAACACATAATACACAAAATACACCATCCTGTAACCAAGTGCCTATGCTTTATACACGTGTTGTGAGCAACTCTGGATAGAGAATGATACTGATCGATCCATTCATTAACAGCACTCTTTGAACTAAGAGATGCTTTTTAGTTCAGAGTGCTGTTAATGGATGGATCAGTATGAGTACATGTATCTTATACAAAATGTAAAAATAAATTAATAAAAAAAAAGACATTAATTTATTTATCATTATCATTTTTTATTAACTATACTTCTGAATATTGTGAATATTTGTTGTCAAACATATGGTCAAAGTCGATCTTCATTAAAGGCCGAGATACATGTATCAACCGTACGGTTGATATCAGGTAAGTTTGGTGTGGGGTGAAGCTTAATTAATTGTAGCGGCGTAATAATAAATACATGTTGGTCCATTATATTTTGAAGAGAAATTAAAACTTTGCGGAAATTGTAAATTTTTTTTAGAGAAAATGATTTCTTTAATTTTGTCAGTCAAGTAATCAATATTCAACTCATTCCATCCAGAATTTTATAAGTTCTGAATAAAAAAAAATATCATTTTCAAAAATTGTTTAGAATATATGATATACTATAGCTTGAATACAGTGTACTATTCGTTATATCTCCATATGCATAGGCGTCAGAACGGGGGGGGGATTTGGCCCCCCCATTTTTTTTTGCAAAGATAGACATATAGTATAGGCATTTTATAGGGGTTTACCTTTTTTTGTTGGTTTAGCCCTACCCCCCCTCCTCCCGGCCCCTCCACACACACACCCTCACACACACACACACACACTTAAAATTAGCCCTCGATCCCACTTTCAATTTTCTTTCGACGCCCATGATATGTTTGATCCAACAGGTTCAAAATTTCAACTCTGTAGTTCTGAAGATGTACACCTTTATGCCTGATCAATTTAATTTAAATTGCAAATCCTAATTTCATTTTATTTGTTCTATCACAATTTGTACATTATATTTGTAAATAAAAATATCCAATATAATTTGAAAAGTGTCTAATGTAAATGCAAGTAATGTCATGATCACGTGTAATTCGTAATTAAACTCGCGATTTTTCAATTAATTTATGAAATATAAATTAATATAATTGTACTTTTGTGATTTGTAAATTGTGCAAGGTTGCATTATGCATGTTATGTTCATGCCTATTGAATTAAAGAAACAGAAAAATAACTTTTAAAACAAGTTTTGTTTTGAATATTGAATGGGTGGGTAGGGGCCGGGGCTGCTTTTTGACATGAAAAAAGAGGGATAGAGACGTTTCACCATATACCCCCCCCCCCCCCACACACACACACACACACACAAACTCACCCTCTCACACACAAAAAGAAAATTTGGCTTATCACCAAAATTCAATTCTAAAACCTTTGTACTATATTTCTAGAAAATATTGTGGGAGGGGGGGGGTCTCATTCTTATATGGCTGCAACGAAAGGGAAAAAAAGGAACAGCAAAACGCTTATTCTAATATGTTTGGAGATTGATCCCTCAC